AAAAAAAAAAAAAAAAAGAAAGATAAATTGTATATTATGTGTACATTTCCATAATTAGGCATTAAAAATTGAAACTGTCACCTCTGCCAACCTACTTGGCTCTGCTCAGCCCAGTAGCTGGTGTGGCAGGGCACCCTGGGTGAGCATGAGCAGGGAGGCCCAGGCCCACCTGACCAGGCACCAGCGAGGCAATGCTGTCTTTGCAGAAGGACATGGGTTTCTCTATGAAACATTTGGGATCCGGCCACAGTTCTCCTGGCATGTCGACCCATTTGGTGCATCTGCCACGACCCCAACCCTCTTTGCGCTAGCGGGCTTCAATGCCCACCTCATCTCCCGGATCGACTACGACCTAAAGGAAGCCAGGCAGGAGGCCCGGGTGAGTTGTCCGCCACATCTGCCGCTCTCGCTTCTGCCTGCCTCCTGGTGTCAGAGCATCATAGCAAGCTGCTGCTTTGTGCTAAGGCATTCAGGAGTCCTTGCCAGCTCCCTAAACCATGGAACTGTACCCCCAGCCTTGGTTCTTGTTATTTCCTCCACCAGGAGTGCCCTCTCCCTATACCCCAGTGTGGATACCTGCAGCTTGAAGGCACCTTCACCCTTTCCACTGGGCTGGGGCTGTGCTGATCCCCCCTGCGGACCCTCCACAGGGACTAGACTCAGTTGCACTCAGTAGACAGTGGGTGGCTGACGGAAACAACAGGGCCTATGCACTGGGAGCATGGTTAGCAGAGACGTAATGCCTCTTCAGATGCGTGGGCAACTAGCAACTATTCCATGATCTAAATAGTAACAATAAACAAGCACAGCAGACACGGTGTGTGCCTGTGCCCTTGGGAAGGCCAGGCTTCAGGCCCCCCTCACACCTGCAGATGACCTTGTGAGCTCTATTCCGAGATCTAAATTGTAACAATAAATAAGCACAGCAGACGCTGTGTGTGCCTGTGCGCTTGGGAAGGCCAGGCTGTAGGCCCCCCTCACACCTGCAGATGACCTTGTGAGTCAGGCGAGACTCTCCCCAATTTCATGCAGAAACCAAGTCACAGAGGCATTATGGTCCCAGAGCCAGCGCTTAGTGAACTAGGATTTTATCTCTGCTTTGTAACCTTGAGCACTTTCCAAACATCACAATAATTTTAAAGAAAATAGACTGTTTACTTGGTGGAAGGTAATGAATTCCCTGTGCCTGAGGATATTCAAGCAGAGTCAGAAAGAGCTTCTCTTAGAGGCCTTCAGAGAATCTTGCCCTGAGAAACAGGTAGGGTGAATCCACAGCTCCTTCTAGAGGGCAGATCCTACCACATGTGGCTTTGAGAACAGAAGAATCTTAATGGAGGAAGCAGCAGGAGACTTTGTCCTTGAATCACTGAGAGAGGGCCAGGAATGGCTGGGGGAGGCAGAGCCAGCATGCCACGTTGCCCCTCGGCTCACTCTGCTCTGTCTGGGTTTGTAGGAGCTGCAGTTTGTGTGGCGGGGGTCCCCGTCCCTATGGACACAGCAGGAGATCTTCACACACATCATGGACCAGTACAGCTACTGTACCCCATCCCACATCCCTTTCTCCAACAGGTACGTCTCCTCTGCAGCTGCCTCCCACCTGCTCAGGGCCTTTGCGCCCCGCTGGGGCTCCACAGACCCCGGGGTTTGCCCAGCCTTTGCAGCCATGTATTATGCAGTTTTATGAGAGTAGCTCATTTAGAATTTCCACATGTGGTTTCACATTTATAATAGAGTAGGTGAGGTTATTAACCCTATTTTATAGATGAAGAAACTGAGGCTCAGCGAGGGTAGGTAACCAGCTTAAGGTCACCCAGCTGGTAGGTGAGGAGGTGGTATTTGACTTCAGGTCTGTGTGACACCAGATTTCTTCCTGTCTTGAGTTCCTGTCCTGATGCAGGATTACTTAAAGGATGAAGTCTTCACATCAGCATTCCTTTTTTTTTTTTTTTTTTTGAGACAGAGCCTCAAGCTATCCCCCTGGGTAGAGTGCTGTGGCTTCACAGCTCATAGCAACCTCCAACTCCTGGCCTCAAGCGAGTCTCTTGCCTCCGCCTCCCAAGTAGCTGGGACCACAGGCGCCTGCCACAATGCCTGGCTATTTTTTTTTTTTTTGGTTGCAGCCGTCATTGTTGTTTGGCGGGTCCGGGCTGGATTCGACCCCGCCACCTTAGGTGTATGTGGCTGGCGCCTTAGCCACTTGAGCCACAGGCGCCAAGCCCACATGAGCATTCCTAAGAACCTCCCACCCTGGCCCTGTCAGGTCCCTTTCTGCTATGGCCTCTGCTCCTCTACCTACAAGGTGAGAAAAGTGACCAGCTGATTCCCAGGTGCCCCTCCCACCATTGTCCACCCCCCTGTTGGGGACATGGCATCCCCAGGGCACTGTTCAGCTTCTCTCTAGCACCTTCTGACTTTTCTACTGTGATTTTCTCTCAACCACAGTGGCCACCTGGCTCCCTGCCTCTGTCCCTTCCACATAGTACTGGACTCAGAGAGGGTCCTGCGTTGCAGACAGAGGGTGCCAGGCCTGAGAGGCTATGGATGTAGGAGAAGGCTGCTGACACAAATGCTTATCTCCACCTGCTCCTGGTGTGGCCTGGGCTGTAGCACAGGGTTTGAGGGATTTTTCCCATCCTCCCTGGCCCTTCTGGGTCCTTGTCCCTGCAGGGATCACAATGAAAAGGCAGGAAGAATGGGGGTGTGTGTTACAGAATGAATCTCTGCATGTCATCATCATGACCACTTGTCCTCACCACCTCCTGCTCATTGAGGAGGGGAGATAGGGGTCCTGATCCTAAATAGTGCAAGGTGGTCAAATACACACCACCTGACACAGGACAGGTGAGATGACTGGGGTCTGTGTCTTATACACGCACAGCTCCAGGGAGGAGGGTGCCCCACTTCACATGCACCTATAAGGGCTACCCTGTGATCAGGGAAGGGCAGGTTAGAGAGTGACAGAGGGGACATGATCAGCCTGTTGGAGTAGTTTCACCAGCTTGCAGGGAGGTGAAAACTGACAGGCTGATGACCAGATGAGGTGTGGATGGTCCACCTGAGCAGGGACCCAGCTGGGCAATTAGTCTTTCTGCTGCTGGGGGCAGTTAGCCTTACAACGCACCTTTCTCCCCAGAGGGTTTGACTGGGGACCTAAGACACAGTGGGGACCAGGAGAACCCTGGGGACAGAGGGGATGAGCGTCCAGCCCAAATGTAATTTTCAGCTTGATTTTCAAAGCATAAGCAGCCAGGCATTCTCAGAAACCCTCATAGTAGCCCCATGAGGGAGACACTCTTGAGCGTCCCACCTTATAGAAGGAGAAACTGAGGCATAGCAACCCACCTCCTCCCATGGCTGGCAAACATGGCAGAGCCAGCATTCAGGCCTCTGGCTTCAAAGCTTCAATGTCATGGCAACAGCCTGCCTGCAGTCTTCCTGCAGTCTCTCTGCAGCCAGACAGCTCTGGATTCAAATCCCAGCTCTGCCCTCTGTTCCTGTGAGGACTTGGACAAGGTACTCTGCCCTGTGTGAGTAGGAAAGAAAGCATGATGGAGGGGGAGGCAGGAGAAGACCCCCCCAGATGGCTTCATTGGCAGTGCCCTCTGTCAGGCCCTGCCCAGTGCCAGGCAAGGTGTCCAGCTTCTTCTTGTAAACTGTTTTCATTCAATCCTGACACCTGGCCACACACTGTCCCAGTGAGGAGGCTCAGGCCAGGTGGGTCAGCAGTGGCAGAGCCCAGAGGCTACCTAGGATTGTGGACAGCTGACAACATTCCCCCCACCCCCACCCAGGTGTCACTCAAGGCTACACAGTGTGAGAAGGGACAGCATTTCTCTAGGGGTTCTCTAGGCCCCTGAGGCTCATTCCTGGTCTCAGTGCCACACCAAGCCACTCAGGAGGCGAAGGCCAAAGGGGAAGTCCATTAGGCTTGATCTCATCTTTACAGTACTGACATTGTGCTCATCATGAGTTTTTTTGTGTGTTAACTTTGATTTTTTTAAGTATTGCACTAAAATATCATTTATTTACTGAGATATGGGTCACCCCCTTATATCGTGTACCCTTGGTAAGGGCCCCACATGCCTCACACTGTCCCCAGCCTGCCGGGGTCTCAGGATAAGGAGGGTGCCTGCACCAACAAGCATATGAATCTCATCTGATGCACTGTGGGGTTGTAGGTGTGGGTAGAACCCAGGCTCGGGGTGAGATGGTGTGTAGAGGTCCCAGGGCTGGTAAACTGTGGTGCCTGGTTCTGACCTGTCTGTCTGCAAAGCTCTTGTCTCCTCCCCTTAACCTTTAACCTTCTGCCGTCCCTCAGGTCAGGGTTTTACTGGAATGGCGTGGCTGTCTTCCCAGAGCCACCTCCGGATGGGGTGTACCCCAACATGAGTGAGCCCGTCACCCCAGCCAACATTGACCTCTATGCCGAGGCTCTGGCAGCAAACGTGAAGCAGCGGGCAGCCTGGTTCCAGACACCTCACGTCCTCTGGCCCTGGGTAAGGCAGGGTCCCAGGCCCCGGAGCCCTCAACATACCCCAGGGACGGCTGTGTGGGTCTGGCCAGGCCAGGCAGCCATCCTCAGCCACATGGCTGTCCTCGTTCCCTGCAGAGCCCTGAGCTTCACCCACCTGACAGCACCCCCACCACACCAGCCTCTCAGCTCCACCTGCTCCCTTATTCTTCCTGTGACAGTGTCTGCGGCCACAGCCTGGCTCCTGGCTTGGTCACTGTGTGCCTTAGAAACCCTCTGAGTTTCAGTCTCCTCAGCTGTTCAGTGGGGACAGTGACAGCACCTGTATCCCAGCCTGGATAATAAGTGAGGGAGGTGTCCCAGAGGGCCAGTGCCAGACATGTGATCATCTCAGCTGACCTCTAGTGAGCACCTGCTGCATGCCAGGCACTGTGTACGGGTGTATTTGTCTCATCCGTCTGATTTGCACCCCTGGGCCTAGGAGGCAGGCACCACTGGTATTCCATTTTGCAGTTGAGGGAACTAAGGGCCAGAAAGCTTAAGGGATTTTCCTGAGACCACATAGCTACTAAGCAGGGTAGCTGGGAAGGGGTGGAATTTGTCTTCAGCCAGGCTGGGGGCCACACATCCTGCCTTCTTAGCCCATAACTGCTGCTTTTGAAGGTGAGCTTGAGGTCGGTTAAATGCGAGTCATGGCTGTTACCATTGTTATTAATATTATATTATTATAATCATGGTTTGGGTAAGTAGTAATATGATGGGCTTTGAGAGATCTCCAGGGGCTTCAGCTATAGGAGCCAATTTGAGGCCCTTGTTGGCCTGGAGAGTGGGAGGGTGGCTGATGAGAAGCCGGGGCTCTGCCCCTTGAAGTATAGGGCATGCTCCATGTCTGGCCACAGGGGTGTGACAAGCAGTTCTTCAACGCTTCGGTGCAGTTCAGCAACATGGACCAGTTGCTGGACCACATCAACAGCCATGCTGACAAGCTCGGCGTCTCCGTGCAGTACGCCACACTGGGTGACTACTTCCGCACCCTGCATGCTCTCAATGTCACCTGGCGCATCCAGGACCACCAGGACTTCCTGCCCTATTCCACAGGTACAGGCCCCTCCTGCCCACCTTAGTGTCACTCGGCACTGCTCTCCGAGCCCAAGACAGATTCCAGGCTTGCTCCATCTAGATGTCCTGGCTGCCAAGCCCAGCCTGGATCCCAGGGGCTCAGCTCTCTCCCCAGTGCCCCCACATGGCAGCTTCCTGTCTCACCTTTGATGTGCAAAGCCCCCATCCAGGAGGGCCCTCCCCCAACCCCACCCACTCCCCTGTGTCAGTCACACGTACACCTCCTCCAGGATCCTTTCCTGAGGCTGAGACTGGGCAGGTATCTCCTTCCGGCCACCAGGCTTCCTCCTCCTGCTGCACAATCATCATTAAGGAACCCATGTGCTTTGGGCTGTGTCCTCAGGCCAGGGCTGGGCTGGCTGTACTCCAGCTGTGGAGTGAGCCTGTACTCCCTGGCAGCATGGAAGTCATGCAACTGCCCTGCCCCCAAATGGGGACATGAATGGTGCTTTATCCATAGGTTTATTGTAAAAATTAAGCAAGACAGGAAAAGCTCTTAGCTTGTTTTCATCCTTCTTGTGTTGCTACAACAGAACATCACAGACTGGGTCATTTATAAAGAAAAGAAGTATATTTGGCTCACAGTGGTGGAGGCTGGGAAGTCCGAGGTAGCAGGCCTACCTCTCTGGTGAGGGCTTTCTGCTGCATTGGCCCACTGCTGAGGGCAGAAGTGTGGAAAAACAAACGAATTTGCTTTAATAACAGGCCCCTCTCAGAGTAACCTGCTTTCGCAGTGACATTAATCTATCTGTGAGATTACAGTCCTCATGAGCTGACCACCTCTTATGCATCCCACCTCTTCCTACGATCACAATGTCAGTTACATTGTAACAGGAGTTACATGTAACAGGAGGGAACATTTAAACCCCTGCACTTCCCCCAGAGAGACACAACACACAGACTCCAGCAGCAGGGCTCTGGAGTGCAGCCCAGGTTCACCCAGGACCTGGCTTAATCCTGCCTCTCTGGGCCTCCATATCTCGGTCTACACACGGTGACGAGTGGGGCTGTAGTTCTCAGGACCCCACCCTACCGTGTAGAGTGAACATCAATGTAAGCATGGCTGTGGCTAAGGTGGGGGATATACCTTTGTGGGCGTGGCTGTTTCTAGCGGGAGGAGTGCAAGAAGTTGAGGTGGGTGTGCTATGATTATAGCTCAGTCTGTGGGGTTCCCTTGCCTGGCCACTCTACTTGGCCATGCAGCCGTGGAGGACCCTGTCATTCTGACCCCAAAGCCTGCGGCCTTTCCTCAGGGCCACGTGACCACCCCTCCTAGCCTGACCCAGGTCCTCAAGGCACAGCCCAAACCCAGGAGGAGCAGGAAGGCAGAAAGAGCAGGAAACCTCTGAGACCCAATCAGCCACTCCCTGGGGGGCATTGGCCCTCCTTGCTCTTAGCCCTGGTCCCATTCTTATTCTTTGGGCCTTGGGAGAGGACAATAGCCACCTGGGGTCTCTCAGCTCCTGCCAGCTCGCCCAGCCATCCTCCTTGGGCTTCCAGAGAGACCTGCTAAAGCACGTGCATGTCCCAAGCTTCTGCAGCTGTGTCCTGCTGTGAGGCGACTGTCTCACTCGCTTCCCTCCTGGGGTCTCCCAGGCCCTTGGCTCATCCAGGTGACAAGTTTCCTAGGCGAATACTGGGCTAGTTCCTGAACATAGTCTGTCAGCTCCCCACCTGCCCCAGGCCCTGTTCAAGGCTTTCTGGGTAGTTTCCTGCCCAGCCGCCGTCTCCCTCAGTGGCCCAGGCAAATGAGATCTCTGTGGCCTCAGCTTCTCTGCTCTTCCGGGCCTGGGGCTTAGTAGACTCCCTGGGGAGGACATCTTGAGCTCACCATCTGCCCTTGTCTACCAGAACCCTTCCAGGCCTGGACAGGCTTCTACACATCCCGCAGTGCACTCAAAGGGCTGGCACGGCGAGCCAGCGCCTTCTTGTATGCTGGGGAGTCCATGTTCACACGCTACATGTGGCCAGCCCCCCATGGGCCTCTGGACCTGGCCTGGGCCCTGCAGCAGCTCCAGCAGCTCCGCTGGGCAGTGTCTGAGGTAATGCCACACTTCTCAGCCACAGCACAGGTTTGGAGCCTCTCAGGCTGTGCACTTCCCCACACTTATCCCAGCAGGTCCTTCTGGCCCTGGGGCACTAGAAGCCCCACTTTACAGAGGGGAAAACTGAGGTCCTTGTTGGTCATAAGGCCCATGCATGGTGAAGCTGGGCCAAGACCAAGGCCTGGTAGCCTCTAGCTGTGGTCTCATTAAACTCTGTAGCAGCAGATTTTACTGAGAAGGATAAAGGAGACAGTGGAGTGGTGTTCACGTCTGACAGCTCTGTCCGTGTAACCCGAGGCACGTGACCTTCCCTGTCTGAACCCTAGCTTCCTTCCCATGCAGTGACAATGACACCCTTCCCAGGAGGACAGTGGGCAGCTGAATGTAATGACTGCTGCTTGGCATGGTAGCTACCACACAGCAAGTTAAGTTTCCATCTCCACTCATCCCCACTGCACAGACATGGAAACCAAGACCCAAGAAGTCCTGTACTTGTTTTCAGTCACCCGTCTAAAAAGGTCCAGCTGGGACATCTGTATGGTCACCTTAAGAGAATTGCTGGCAGAACATGTCACTGGGTGACTTTAAAGTCCATCAGAGCAGCTCAGGCCAAGTGTCTTCACCTGTGGAGCCTCAGTGTCCCCTTCTGTGAAGAGAGACAAGCCCGCCTCTGGCTCTGTGCAGAAGAACATGCGTATCATAAACAGAGGACACAGGGCACTGGGAGGTCAGGTCCCAGAGGTGAAGCAAGGTCCTTCCCACAAGTCTGTTCTCTGAGAGGGAGGACAATGGCACGAGTTTCCACAAGATCAGGAAAAGTTGGGCAACTTCATCAGCCTTTCTTGGCCTCAGTTTCCTCCCCTATAAATGGGAGGGACTCCCGCCTCTTTCACTGGTGCTGGTACACAGTCAGTGCAGGTACCTCATAGCTGCCTCGTTGGATCGGGTCCTGATCACCTTCTTCCCCAATTGGGGGGTCCTGCAGGTCCAGCATCATGATGCCATCACAGGGACTGAGTCTCCCAAGGTGAGAGATATGTACCTGGAGCACCTGGCCTTTGGGATGCAGGGGGTAGGCAAGCTCATGGCTGCCATTGTCCTGGACAGACCCCAGCCAGGGGCAGGGCGGGCCACCCCCTCGGCTGACTCAGGTAAGCCAGGCCCCTGGGTGGAGGCTGCGGGCCCATTCTGAGACAAGGGTGGGGGTGGGGGGCTCAACAACCTGCGTCTCGGGGGATGACAAGCATCTTCTGTCCTCTGAGCCTCCGTCTTCTCATCTGTGAAATGAGGAAGGTCCGATGTTACTTGGAGCCAGTAAGCACTGCTAAATCTAATCTCTACAAGGTTGGAAGCGTTGCTGTTCTCATGTTATGGCGAGGAGACAGACTGAGAGGTTGTATACTAGCCCAGGGTCATACAGGTAGGAAGACATACAGTGGAGATTAAACCCTGAACCCTGCACTGAGGAGGTGCAGATATCCTCAACGGCCTGGCCTCACCTAGCTTCCTGCACTCCCTCCCCAGCTTCACTTGGTCATAGTTCATGTGGGGCAGCCCTTAGAACAGCCTCTGATATGAGGTTTCACACATATAGAGTAACCCATCCTACCAGTGTGACCAGGGGGTTTCAAATCCAGGAAAATCCTGAGAAATAGGGAAAGTTTGTTCTCTCGACATATGCAAGAGATACTCCCATGCACAAGGTGCCCACGTCCCTGTCCTCGACCTGCACTCTGATCATCATGCACTTCCTGATGTCCCCGGCCCGTCCACTGCTCTATCTCCCATGCCTTTCACCTGACCTACCCTCCCCTCCCATCCCTATGTGTAATCCCATTTGGCCTGCAGACTTTGGAAGGCCTCTGGGGACCTGCCCTTGGGGATACCAGTCTGTTGGGAAAGATGGTTTCAGAAAGAATGCGGCAGCCTGGGCTCCAACTTCACTGCCAAGTGGGGCAGTTGAAGAGCTGACATTCTAATGAGACAGTCATGTCATTCTGGTGAGCACACAGGGAGGCCTCCCTGAGCGTCAAGGACTAGCTGAAGAAGACGAGGAAAGGTGTCCCAAGCAGAAGGGAGAACTCAGGCAGAGGCAGGGAGACTGGAAGTGTGTGCTGTGTTCAGGGACACAGGTGTTGTCAGATGTGGCCAGGTCCACATTGCTAAGCCCTTGAATGTCAGGCTAGGCAGTAGAACTTGGCCCTCCAGGCTCCAGAGAATTCCCTGGTGGCTCACAGTACCAAACTCTCAAAACTTTGGAGCCAGGCCTTAGGAGCAGGTGACTCCACTTCTCTGGACCTCAGCTTCCTCATCAGTCAAGTGGGCTGATGGGGAGAGATGTGTAAGGGAACAAAGGAACCTCACATGTTCACGTCTCACCTTCCTGGCCTGGGAATGCGCACTGCAGTGCTGAGCAGAATGTGGGCCAGGCTGCCTGTCTGAGGACCACCTGCCTGGCCAGCTCCTCTGGGAGCTCTGGAGGGCTAGGTCTTGCCTGCCTCGATTTCCCTTGTACTGAGGGGTACCCAGGGGTGTCAGCCAGCAAAGCCTGTTCTCTCTGCAGGTGCGAGGCCCACAGGACACTCTGTGGCAGTCTACAACCCACTGGCCTGGACGATTACCACCATCGTTACCCTGACCATTGGCTTCCCTAGAGTCAGTGTCACAGATGAGTTGGGCCATCCAGTTCCTGCACAGGTATGTCCAGCTAAAGGGGCATTTGCTGTTTGCTGACACCTGCTCTGGGCTGGGCCCTGTATGCAGATGGTCTCTCTCGGCCTTACAAACACAGCCTTGTCATTCCTGTACTATAAGTGAGAAAACAGGCTCAGAGAGGCAAAGTGTTTGTTTGTTTGTTTGTTTTCTAACACTAATCAATTCTCTACTTTTCTGGCATGAACTAAGTTTCCTAAAATCCAATTCAATTCTGAACTAACTCCCTGGAATACAAACAAACCCCACAAGTTAGTAGTTTAGTCCCAGAAGACCCCCCCACTTCAGGTGCCAGCCATAAATGGGGCTACAGGCTGTCAGACTTCTGTTCAGGTGACTCCAAATTCAGAGGTTCCTGCAACCCCTCCAGATTTGATAATTCACTAGAAGCACTCATAGAACTCAGGGAAATTCTGTGCTCACAATGACAATTATCTTGCAATGGGCATAACTTAGGAACAGGCACATGGAAGCTTCCCAAACCCTAGTCCCTTGTTGGTTCCTCTGGAGACCAGCCCCACCCTGGAAGCTCTCTAAGGCCCCATCAGGAGTCACCTTATTATAACTCAGGTGAGCTTGAAAGGGGCTCCCCTATCTCTCAGAAAATCCCCATGGTTTTAGGAGCCCAGAGCCAGCAACTAGAGACAAAGACCAAATATGGTACCATACCGAGTCCCTAAGGTTACACAGCCAGGAGGTGGCAAGCTCCCACCTTCCAAGCCACCACTGATCTGTCAAAACTGTAGTTAGAATGAACATGTGACAACCCTGCCCTCACTAGGAAGACATTAATGTCTACTGAAGGTCATTCAGATCCACCAGGGTACTGACAATGGGCTTGGGGCATCCAGTGTGGATAGAAGTGAAAGGGCATCTGTGTTATTATTGCTGCCTTCATCTGGAGGACTCAGAGGCCTGCTGAAACTAAAGGACTGGTCCAAAGTCACCAGAGAGTGAGAGTTGCCACTGACCACAAGCCCAGCCCTTCCCTACCACACCCAGTCCAGGCACCTTTTTGGTGTCTGTGCTGTGGGAACTAGGGTCCTCATCTATCTTCCCCATCAGGGCTACCGTAACAAAGCACCAGGTCAGATGGCTGAAATAATAGACATTGATTTCTCCCAGTTCTGGAAGCTAGGAGTCCAAGATCAAGGTGTCAGCATGGTCAGGATCTGGCCAGGGCTTCTTTCTGGTTTCTGCCTTTCTGTCATGTCCTCATGTGGTAGGAAGAGGGTGCGAGAGCTGTCTGGGGTCCTTGTCAGAAAGGTACTAATCCCGTTCCTGAGGGCTCACTCTCAGGACTTAATTACCTCCCAAAGCCCCCACCTCCTAAATGATGACATGTAAGGTTAATATTTCAGCATTTTGAGGGAGGACATAGATATTCAGTCCACTTCATCACTCAAGCCAAGGGGGTATAATACCACTTTCCTAATTGCTTCTAGGGCCTCCTGCTGTCACATCCCTACAAGGGCTCTTATATAGGAAGTTTTCCCTCACCCACTTCCTTCAGGAATGTTTATAATCTAATACAAATATTCCTTTTGCATGTAGCAAGGCCTTTGAGAGTCTTAAAGGGGTGCTGATGTCAGAAGGTGGCACCCAGCTGGCCCTTTCTGCACCACCCAGAAATCCCTCCAGCAGCACTGGCTCCAGAAGGCACCCTGCATGTCACCCAGCTGATCCTTCTTTGGGACAGTAGAGGAAGCATTGACATCACTCAGTCATCCAGCACACACTCCCAGATGCCCATTTTGGCCCAGGCCCCATCCCAGGACACAGGTGTAAGCAGTTATGTATACTAATGACTAGGGAGCCAGGGCAGGGCGCCTTCTCATAGGCTCAGAATGAGGAGGAGCTTGTCTGGCAAAGGGTAGGGTGGCCTTGGGCAGAGCCAGCACAGAGCCCTCTTCCCACATAGGTGCGGAGTGAATTCCCTTGACACCTGCTTCTGGAGCTCCCATTGTGTGTCAGACCCTGTGCCAGGCACTGGGGACACGGTACCAACCCACAGATGAAAGTCCCTGCCATCAGGGGGTTTATAGTCTAGTGGCGGAGACGGGCCATAGCAAAATAAGGAAAGCATAGACTGGTAGATGACGACTGTAATGAGGGCATCGTTAGAGCATGTTATAGGGGCTAGGACACACTTTAGGTGGGCAAGTCACATCAGTGCAGGGCTGGGCGTCTGCTATATGTCGGGTAAGGCCTAGGTTTGTGCTGGTATCATGGGCCTGCTAATAGTGCTCCCCACCATGCATAGAAGATGTCTGCTTTAGCTGGGGGGCAGATCTAGTGACTTGGAAGTGAGTGCTTCCAACTTCCCCTCCTCAATCAGATGCCGAGGAGTGAGGCAGAGGCCAGGAAGGCTAACCTGAGACATGAGCAGATTAAAGGATTGCCCCTCCCAGGAGAAGGGGTGGGGACAGCTGAGCAAAGGCTTGGTGTAGGAAGGCAGGAATGCTGGGAAGGAAGGGCCCAACACTGGAGCCCGAGTTGCCAAAGGAGCAGTGAGGGGAAGGGAGGTTGGTTCCCCTCAGGCCCAGGGGCCCAGGTCCTGGGTTGCAGCAGATGAGGGTCTTGGAAAACTCACTCTGGTTTCTGAAGTGGGTGGATTGGCAGAGACAAGAGTGGATACAGGGACACCAGTGAGGGGCTGGGCACTTGTGCAGGGTGGGGCCTCCATAGGAGGCTACAGGGAAGTGAGAGGGGGAAGCTCTGAGAGTCCTCGAGATGCCCATGGGTGGTGTTGGTAGGGGTGGGATTGGGGACAGCTGAGTGGCAGGGGGCAGATGGTGTGTGGGGGTGTCAGCTGTGGCTGTCCAGGTGGAAGTGCCAGGCAGGAAGTGGTATCTGTGGGTCTCAGATTCCAGAGGTCAGAGGACCGGGAATTTGAATTTGGGAGGCATCGCTTCTGGCCGGTGCAGAATGATTAAAGGGGCTGGGAGTTTCCAGCTGGAATAAGAGACACTTAGGGTCCCCCAGAGCCAGCTTTCCTCTGGTCACCAAAGGGTTCTCCGAAGGTCGATGTACGTTGTGGGGGCCCCCGGGGGTACAGGATTCAGGGAGCAGAATGTGGCAGGGTCCAAGAGAAAGAAAGACACTGCTGCCCCAGGGGCCGTGAGCACCCCATCCAGGAGATGTGTGAGCTGGAGGCACTGAGGGGTCTTCCAGCCCTGAAATCCACCATTTGCTCCCACCCTGCTGGCCTTGCAGGTCCAGAACTCGACCAAGACCCCATCGGCATACACCTTGCATATCTTGACCACCATCCCAGGCCTCAGCTACCGGTACTATAGCGTCAGGCCCACAGCAGGGGCCCAGGAGCCAGTCGCCACAGTGGCCAGCACCCTGCAATTTGGCCGCAGGCCGAGGAGACGTGACAGTCGTGGGAGGAGGCGCCTGGTGCCTGTGGAAAACGACTGCTACACTGTGTTGCTTGATGAGGACACCAACCTGATGCACAGTGTCCAGGAGAGGTGAGCGCAGCCCGCCTCACCAGCCCCACCTGCTTCTCCACTGCTCACCTGCCCCAGGCAGACAAGATGGTGTGAAGCCCCTTCCTGTGTTGTGATCTTCAGTTCTAGGAGTGAGTCTAGGCCATGCCGGGAAGGCTTTCTTATGCTTTGGTTCCAAGGCTATTGATCCGCAGAAAAGAGGGAAGAAATTTATTTGGTGTTACCCACCCTTTTTAATTGAAAGAAATATAAAATCTCTATTTAGTAAATAGTCATACTATCTTTAGAATGGGAAGGGACCCTCAGAATCATCTAGGCTCACACACCCACTCACCGGTTCATCCATCCATGCCCCCACTTACTCACCCATTCAACAGTCCATTCATTCATGTACTCACTCAGCAGCTACTTGTACAGAGAGGGCAAATGACTGCCCAGGAAATCCTCCCACTTGGTGTTGGGCCAACCCTGTCCTTCCTCAGGCCTTGACCAGTCCAGCTGTCATCAACTCCAGCTGCCTCTGCCAGAGGACCCACTTGGAGCAGGTGGTGGAAAATGAGGGGACAGGAAACAGAAGAAGAGGGTCGGGAGAGGGAGGCTAATGGGCATTGGTGGGGAGACAAGTGTCAGCAGCGCTCAGCCTGAGGTCACACTCAGCAGCTCTCCACCACAGAGCCCCAGGACTTCCCTCCAGTGCAGCCCTGTCAGGTCTGGCTCCTGAGAGAATGGGCAGGTGAGGAAGGTGATAGCGGAGGCATGAAAGGCTGCCAAGGGGAGACCTGGGCAGGGTAGCAGCAGAAAGGGGTGAGGCCCCACGCATAGTCCATGTGCAGTTTGGGTGAAGGGGAGTTCGTTTTCCCTGATAGAAGATACCATTACCAAGATACCATTCACATACCACACAGTTACCAACTTACAGTGTACAGTCAGTGGTTTTTAGTGTAGTCACAAAGTCACATAACCATCACCTTAATCAGTTTCCAAACATTCACTACTCAAAAAAGAAACTTGATTTTCTCCTTCTCCACAGCCCCTGACAATTCTAATGTTTCCATCTCTATGGGTTTGCCTGTTCTGGACAGTTCATATAAACAAAATCATATGTTGTGTGGTCATTTGGTGACTCACTCCTCTCACTTAGCATAATATTTGCAATGCAGCCTTCTCAATTGTAGCAATGTCAATACCTCCTTCCTTTTTAGGGATAAGTAACATTCCCTTGCCTGGGCATCCCACACTCTGTTTATAGGTCCTTCAGCTGATGGATGTTGGGGTTGTTTCCACTTTGGAGCTACTATCAATGATGCTGCTGTAAACATACTGGTACAGGTTTTTGTGTGGACGTACATTATCATGTCTCTTGGGCATTTAGCTAGGAGTGGAATTCAGCTAAGTTTAACAGTTTAAGGAACTGGCTGCTCTATTTTATATACCCACGAGCAGTTTATGAGATTTCTGATTTCTTCACATTCTCACCAGCACTAGTTATTTTCTGTCTGTTCAGTTATAACCATTCTTAGGGGTGTGAAGTTCATCATTAGTTTCAGAGAACTAATGATGTTGAGCATCTCTTCATGTAATTATTGGCCATTTGCATATGTGTGGTTTTTTTTTTTTTTTTGGAGACATTCTGGCTCTGTTGCACAGGCTGGAGTGCTGTGGCATCAGCCCAGCTGACAGCAACCTCAAACTCCCAGGCTCAAGCGATCCCCTTGCCTCAGCCTCCTGAGTAGCTGGGACTACAGGTGCCCACCAGTAATTTTAAATTTTTTTATAGAGATAGGGTCTCTATGTGCTGCTCAAGTTGAGGGGTCAGAGAATTTAATGGTGCACAGGGTCAGGAAATGTTGGTTCCTGGCAAACCTCTGCTGGCCACTGCATGAGCCAAGCATCGTCTCTTGGTGACACCCTCTACTGACGGCTCCAGGTGCCTGACGCAGTCTGTGTCCTGACCCTCACCACCCCTTTTGTCATCACTCAGGGGCAAGATGGAACCTGAGCCATCCTGGCTCTGGGTTGAGGCTAGAGCTTGTTAGTGAGCCTGGTTGAGGGGACTCGTGATGCTGCTTGGGCTCCGCAGAGTTTGCCAGCCTGGTTCCAAATCATGAGATACAGTCACTGATGATAATGACGTGTTCTCTTTCTTATCTCTGCAGACAGAGTAACCGAAGGGTGAAGGTGACCCAGGAGTTCCTGGAGTACCATGTCAATGGTGACCTGAAACAGGGCCCCATTTCTGACAACTATATGTTCACATCCAAGGAACCCGCAGTGCCCGCATGGGAAGCCGTGGGAATGGAGATTGTGGTGGGAACTCTGGTGACTGAGATCCGGCAGTACTTCTACAGGTACCTCCCCGTGGGGTGACCCTGACACCTGGCGCACAGCCACACAGGTGGCAGGCAGATGCAGGAAGGACAGGTCCATCTTTGCTCCTGGGCTGTGTTTGGCTCATGCTAGTTGCTCTGTGAGAGTCTGAGGAAAGGACAAGTCACTCCCGTGTGTGTGTGTGTATGTGCTGGCTGCACTGCCTATGCCATGCCGTGTTGGCCAAGATCTGTGTTCAGAGCTGGGACAGAGCCCAAGTGTGTAACTCACATGAAGGGAGTTCCTGTTCATCCTTTATCAGAGCAGTCAAGCCACCCAGGCCTGGCACGGTGGCTCTGTGCTATCAGGGAGCCAGGCCACTCCCATTGTCCTACTCAGTGTCAGGAGTCGAGGGGAGCATTGTCCACATGGCCCAGAAGGCTTCCTGCCTGCCCACCCTGTTGCAGGAAGGAAGGAAAGAGGGAAGGAAGCATCTAGAAGGCTCTCAGAGCTTTACTTATTACCAAAGCCCATTTTTTCTCCAGGAATGTGACTGCCCAGGATTACACATACGTGATTTACTCCCGGCTTGCTCACGTGCCACAGGGCCAGGACGGGGAGCTGCTCTGCCACCGGATAGAGCAGGAGTACCAAGTGGGCCCCTTGGAGCTGAACAGAGAGGCCGTCCTAAGGACCAGCACTGATCTAGACAGCCAGCAGGTCCTCTACACGGACAATAATGGCTACCAGATGCAGCGGAGGCCCTACCGGGCCTACACAAACAACAGCATTGCACGGGTACGCCCTGGGCACCCACGGGCACACCCTGGCGGTGCTCCTGCTGCCCCTTTGCATATCACCAGCAGCGGGAGGATTCTTTGACAGCCCCTTGCCCATGCATCTGCCCTTGCAGGGTTGAGAGCTCAGGCTCTGGGTCTGCAGGTATCTGAATTAATTCTGGTACTACTATGTAGGCGAGACCTTGGTTTGTACCTCAGTTTACACATCTGTAAGACAACTGTTTCATCAAAGAGTCAGACTGAGATGAAGTATGTCAAGGGCTTACCTGGGACCTGGACCCGTGGCACCTGGGTCATGCAGCTAAGAAGCACCAAAGCTGGGATCTGAGCCCCTGCCTGGCAGTCCCCAAAGTCTAGGTCCCTACCCCATGCTGCCTCTGTGCCTATAGAAAGGGAGAGCTGGGGGGCTGCCTCACCCCTCACCCTGACCACCAGCTTGGTGATGTTTATGTCTGCAGAATTACTACCCCATGGTTCAATCGGCCTTCATAGAGGACAGCAGAAGCAGGCTGGTGCTCTTGTCAGAGCGGGCCCACGGCATCTCCAGCCAGGGGAACGGCCAGGTGGAGGTAGGAGAAGGCACAGTCGTCCTGCCCCAGCCCATTGTGGCCCCCATGGGCAGCTCCCAGTGCCAGGCGGGGCCTCTAGGGATCTTCTTCTCATAGGTCATGCTCCATCGGCGACTGTGGAACAACCTAGACTGGAATCTGGGCTATAACCTCACGCTGAATGACACTTCAGTCGTCCACCCGATACTCTGGCTTCTGTTGGGGCCCTGGTCAGTCACCACTGCCCTGCGCCAGAGGAGTGGGCTAGCCCTGCAGCACAGGCCCATAGTGCTGTTTGGAGAGCTGGCAGGTAAAGGGATGCCTTTCTGAGTGTACATCATCACTCCCTGGAGCCAGCCAGCCAGGTCAGGGCAGGGCTGTGGAGGGGCTTATGCTCTTGGGAATCTGGGCACCTCTGGGGCAGGAAGGCTCAGAGGGCTCTGATCCAAGGCCCTCACTTAATAGAAGGGAATATTGAGGGGAAACAGTGGCTCAGTTGAGGTCATACAGCAAGGCCACGCACAGAGCTGGGGCTCACACCTGCTTCCCTGTGTCTCCTTCATTTTCTTTCCTGATGTATCTTTTACTTTCCAAATAAGACATTATGTCACTGTGTTACTTCAGGTCGGGAGGTGAGGGTGCTTCTAGTCCATAGTCTAATCTACAAGGTTTGTACTTTGCCTCCACTGAGGTTTCTGTAGAGTATGTAACCATGTAGTCAGGGCGGTGCCTGTGGCTCAAGGAGTGGGGTGCTGGCCCCATATACTGGAGGTGGTGGGTTCAAACCCAGCCCTGGCCAAAAAAAATGAAAAAAGAATAACCATGTAGTCCTATATCTTTATTAAAATAGCAGAACCGGAAAAACAAGCAGGGAGTGTGTTTATAGGTGATAATTTGGAACAGCCTTAAAAGAATTAAAGGGGCCTGTTCCAGGGGCCACATGCTTAACTGCTGTTTGGGGTCTGTTTTGCTTATCTGTGGTACGGGATATCACAAAAAGTGCACACAGACTTGGTTTTTATTGCTCATCAGCTTTTCTAAGTGTTTGTGTATTTAATGTGTGGCCCAAGACAACTCTTATTCTTCTAATGTTCAGAAGAAAAGATAAAAGGTCCGATATCCCTGATCTAGATAAAATTCAGTGCCATTTTCACTGATTTGTGAACTCTTTTCCTACTCACTTGCAGAGGTTTTTGATTAAAATATGCTTTTACAGTTCTCCCTGCTTTGGTTTTGGAGCCAGAACCTTCCCAGGACATTAGCCAGTGGGCAGACTGTCCTTCCTTGCAACAAGCATGAACTGAGCTCCTATAAGGTGTTGCCACAGCGGAGATGCCTACAGGCAGCAGCCCCTCCCCTGCATGGTCTGTCAGGGTGAGGAACCAGGACGCAGGGCAGACAGGGAGCCACACTGCAGCAGGGCCTGGTACTTTGTGGCTTTGGAGGAGTGTGAGACTACAAGTCAGGAGGAGGCCAGGGGGTATCAATTAAGGTTCTTTGGAAGTAACAGAAAGTGGAGGGACTGCTCATTGGGCAGAGCCTGGGGAAGCTTGCAGACTTTAGGGAGTCCTAGACAGGAGGCCTGGGCAAGCTGGAGGTTGGAGCTCTGGGTATCTTGGGGACAGACATTCACAGCCGTGTCTCCTAGTACTACCACTGAGCTGCCTATCCGGGCTACCTCCAGTTCCCATGCTTCAGAGTCCCAGGAGGGGTGATCTGATTGGCCTGGCAAGTTCAGGGTCTGCTCCCAGATCAGTCAGTAGTTTCTTTTTTTTTTAGTGTATTCTCCATTTAAATAATTTCTTTTTTTTTAATCATTGGGGATTCATTGAGGGTTCAAAAAACCAGGTTACACTGATTGCATTTGTTATGTAAAGTCTCTCTTACAATCATGTCTTGCCCCCAAAAGATGAGGCACACACCAAGACCCCACCCCCTCCCTCCTTCCCTCTCTCGAGTCAGTAGTTTCTTAACAGTAGCTGGGCACCTTTCCTGCAGCGGGAGATGCACTGTGTCTGAGCAAGTGTCATGACTATTTTCAGTGCCTTCTCACCCACCCTCACTCTGGTCTCTCTTGCAAGTGAGAAAAACCCAGCTTGAACTCACTGAGCCCCAGGGAAAGATATTGTGAGGCCCATGTGCCCTTAGCCTCAAGGACTAAAACCCTTTGGAGACTGTCCCTGTGCTTCTTTCTGCTGACTTTCCTTCTCCTACCCAGCACGTGGCTGTGGGCGATGAACAGCTCTAGGGCTTATCTTAAAGAACAGTTCTATCGCCTCCACCCAAAAGGAACTGAGTGCAAAAAAAGTCCCAAGGAAGGATTCTGATTTGTCCTACTGGGGTCAGGTGGCCCGTGCCTAGACTCATCAGTGTGGCCTGAGATTTTGTGAGAAGACAGTAGCTCCTGTTGAAAGTCCATAGTTGGATAGAGTGAGCTCTAAGGTGCCTCTGAGCAGAGAGACCAGTATGACAAAACAAGGGAGGAGCTGGTGTCTCAAACTCCTAGAGTAGAAAATAAGGCTCTACATCACTGACTGGCCATGTGACCTTGAACAAACTGTGTTCCCTTCCTGGGCCTTATTCTCCCTCCTGGTCTCTAGTTCAAAATGGCTAGACTGAGGAGATCGAGGGTCCAGCTCTTAAGCTCTGTGGCCTCAGCAGTTGGACACTCAGAAGGAAAGGCTTTCAGGTGAAGGATGCATGGGCAAAGGCAAGGAGTGGGGAGCCTGGGGCACTGGCACCACCAGGGGCCTTAGGCTGATGCTGTGTAGGCTACATGGGGTGATGGATGAGGGGGGTAGACTGGGAGGGGCAGGTACATATAATATGAGTGCCAGGAGGAGGGGCCAAGCCCCCAAACCCTATCCTTATTCTGTCCATCTGCCTTCCAGGAACTGCCCCCAAGCCCCCAAAATCCTGGAAGCAAGAGGCCGTGATGCTGCCCCCAAATCTTCACCTGCAGATCCTGAGTATCCCGGGCTGGAACTACAGCTCAAACCACACTGAGCATGTGCAGAATCTAAGGAAAGGTGAGGCAGGTATGCAAGGGCCTGAGCCCGCTCCTCCCTTCCCAAGTCAACCAGGTCCCCAAGCCCACACCAGACAAAGGGGGCTCACCTTAGAGATGTCATGGCTCTGCGAGGTCACCTGGACCCGCTATCTGGGAAACAGGGAGGCGAGGGCCACAGAGACTCAGTGAGGGACCAGAGTCACTTAGCAAGCTGGGGACAATGCAGGCCTGGACCCCAGCCCAGGACCAGCCCTCACCAGTCTCTGAATGGATCCCTCCCAACCCCACCCACGTCCCTGTCCATATTCTGTCTGATACTCAAAGCTGCCCTCCCCTCCTGCTTTCTCCAGGGAGACCTCCTGGGTCCCCCAACATCCTAACTGTTGGGAGCTCCCAGTCATTCATTCAACCAATGTTTCCCATGCCGGGAGCTAGGGATGAGCAGTGACCAAGGTGGGCAAGGTTTCTGATCTCTGTGAGCTCAGTCTAGAGGGAGGAACAGCCAAGTCACCAGGCAGTGGTGACAGTGATAAGACAAAGCTCTTCAAGGCATCAGGGAGGGCTCCCCGAGGTCATACCTGCCAGGAACCACCCTGTTCTATGGCCACAGCCACAGCTACACTTACTGCCCTTTTATACTTTGAGCACCTCAAAGCAGGGTCTGATTGTGCCTCTGCCATCTTCCTGTCATGTACCTGAAAGATGGCTTAGTAAGAGTTTGCACAATTAAGAACAAGGGGGAGAAGGAAGAGGCATTAACCCCCAACCCCTGAGCCAGTGCAGAAGCAAGACATAGGGAATCAGCCCGAAAGGCCAGGCAGCACCTTGTCCTGATACAGCTCATCCTGGAGGCTGGGGCTTACTCCTGCAGACAGTGTGGCCTCCCAGAGCTGAGCCCCAGCATGACCACCTCCCCCAGTCCCAGAAGACACGGGTGGGGCAGGCTCCCCAGTAGCCACAGAACCTTTTCTTCCAACTCAAGTGCTGTTCCTCCCTCTAGACTGAGCTCACAGAGGTCAGAGAACCTGCTTCCTATAGGTGGCTTTTCCCTGATGGGAACAGGAAGAGAGGAGCCAGGCAGGACAGGGCTCCTGGATGCCCTGTTGGGAAAGTCCAGGACCCACTCCCCTGGACACTCACAGCCACCTTGTAAAGCAGGATCCCTCAGCACCCTGCCCTTCCTGCCTCTGGAACTTGAATCCTTAGCTATGCACGAGGAGCGTGTAGAAGCTATTTATAAGCCTCTTAGCTTTTATGGCCTTGGGCAGCCATTCCTGGGTGCCAGTCTGAAAGCAGCAACCTTCTAGTCACATGTTAAACTGTTAAAAAAAAAAAAAATACCGATGCCTCAGTTCTACCCTCAAGGTAGTCTGATTCAGTTGACTTTGGGGCATAAACACTGATGTTAACCAGGACTTGACCTTCCCAGGACCTTGAGCTCAGTGCTTTCCACTAAGCTTCTGTCTTCTCATCTGTAAAATGGGAGCAATAGCAATGAGCCCTTCTGTGTGGGAAGGTTGAGGAGGACACGAGGTTATGAGACCACTGTAGATGACAGGTGTCCGGGTTATGCTGCAGTAGCAAAGAGCCCATGCCTCCCTGTCTCAACACAGTATGAATTCCTTTCCCTCCATGCTAGTGTCCCAGGGGTGTCATCAGGAAGGCCAGGAAGTGACGCATCACTTCTGTTCACTTTGCATTGGCCACAGTGGCCACACATAACTTCAGAGGAGACAGGGAAGGAGAAATGTGAAGTATTTCAGAAGAGGCTCGATCATGCCCACAGCAGTGGATGAGGACTGAGACTTTGCAGATGCTGGTGTTGTAGGTGGGTGGGGCCTTAAAGTCAGCTAGACCTGGGTGAGAATCCTCCCTCCACGGTGCACCAGCCCCTGCCCAAGCCTTGCTTTCCTTGTCTAGCACGAGAAGGTAGAGAATTCAAAGGAGTCGAGTGGTAAATTACCAGGCATAGACTGGGGGCCTTAGGGTTGGTTGATGGGGGGCCTCACGGCCACCTTCCTTCTGCCCTCAAAGGCCATCAAGGGAAGACCCAGGCTGACCTCCATCGTGTCCTGCTGCGGCTCCACCACCTGTATGAGGCAGACGAGGACCCAGTCCTATCTCAGCCGGTGACAGTGGATCTGGAGGTAAACTGCCCCACCTCCATGCCCCTCCCAGACCACCAGGTCAGGCCTCCCAGGCAGAGTCCTGCCTGAGAAATTACCTTGGCAGAGAGATCTGTCAGAGCATGTTCACAAATCATGCCAGTGTGGGCTCTGGCAGGGTTCAGGGAGACAGCCTCCCACCCACCCCCCCAGCCTCCCACCCTGTCTTCTTCATGGTCTTCCATATTTGTTAGGTTTTACAACAGCCTTTGTCTTATTTATTTCTTCTTTATTCTTAACAACACAAATATCATCTGTATAATAACAAACAAACGAGTTCATTTAAATGGTGACTTAGAGTGAGACAATCCAGGGTCCCAGTCCAGATGCCTCCCCTAGGGTACCCCATTCTTCTGGGCCTCAGTTTCCTCACCTGTAAAATGAGGGGGAGAAGGTTCTTTATCCCCCTAAGGGTGCTTGGGGACCCTGTCAAGTATGGGTGCCCCATGTTGTCCTCAGAGCACCCCCAGGGAGGCTTCCACCACCTGCCTGACCATGTTCTCTCCCCAGGAGATACCACCTGAGATGCCTCATTTCTTCCTCAGTTTGTATTCTTGCTGGGGGCTATGAGCTCTTTATTTCATTTCCTGCTCACAGAGAATGTCTGTAAATCTCTGTATTTCTGCCTGGGCTGCCTTCAACCTCTGTGTCCTCAGTGGAATTGAGAGAGGCCTGGGTAATCTCCCACCATGCCACCATGCCTCCCCTCCTTCATGGCCCCTGCCGTCAGGGGCCTAGTACCCTGCCTGCCCAAGGGCACTGAGGCAAGTACCAGTTAAGAAGATAGCATAGAATCTGGAAGTTGGTCATCTATGTGGCTCCATTTCACAGGTAGAAGTGCCAAGGCCCTGAGAGGAGGGGATGGTCAGGGTGGAGTTTCCTGTCCATGTGAAGGAATGGTGGGGAGGTGGAGTAGAGAGGCATTGGCAGCTGGGAGTGTATTTGGTTACAAATCACAAAACACCTGACACAAGTGTTTGGGAAGGGGCATGGTGTGTTTTCCCACCCAGCCGTTGTCAGTGCCCTGGCTCCTTGGCTTCCTGCCCGTGTCCCTATTTGTAGTCACCAGATGGCACAGGCCTCCCGCACAAGCAAATTGAAAGGCAGAAGGGGGCAGAGTGGCAGGAGCAGAAGGACTTTGGCCTGACGGGGCTCTCTCCTGTCAGCACACAGAACCTTCTCCAAGAGCTACCCCCACCCTCCCACTTGGCAGACTTTTCCAGAACTGTACAGCTTCTGCTTCCCCTGCCTGCTAGAGAGGCTGGGACAAAGCTTATTAGGAAAAGGGGGATGGAATAACTCTGCTTGGCTTCATCCTGGGTGGGGCACAGCACCATTTGTACACTATGGGAGTGGGGCTCTGTGTGGACCAGCAGCTCAACGTGCCTGAGTCTTTGGGGCCTGCCAGTGGAGCACACGCCTCCCCAGCCTCAGTTTCCTCATCTGCAAACTGGAAGCCAGTCCTGTCCTTGCTGATGGCCTTGCTATTTCTCACAAGAAATATGTGAGGGAGGTATGTCAGGCACCCGGAGCCCCACGGACACAGTCTATGGAGTGGCTGCTGCTGTGGTTCTCTGCCGGGATCCCAGGTGTCATCCTGCTGCTCCCTCCTGCTCCTGTCCCTGCAGGCCATGCTGCGGGGGCTGGGGCCCATGGCGGCAGTGGAGGAGCGCTCACTCACAGGGACGTGGGATGTGAACACGCTGCGCCGCTGGAGCTGGATGACAGAGCCTGGCCACCACAGAGGTTTGGGAGCCCCTGCGTTAGCCCCCAGTCTGGGATCCTAGGCAGGGGAGCTGGACAGCCCTGGTTCAAATCCAGCCATCTGCCCACCACACCTGTGCAACCTTGAACATGTGTCTTCCTTCTCTCAATCCGCAGCCCTCCTAAATTCTGCCACAGTGTGTAGAGAAAGGCTTTGGGTCAGTCTCCACTTGCCAGAGCTCCACACAGCCACGTGAACGTGGGCACACATAGACCACATGCCCTGCTCATCTCTGGGGAGAGCCCTATGTTTGTGAGGGGGCCCTGGGGCCTTCTGCCTGACTTGGCCATGCTGACATCAGCCATTCCAAGCTTCACGCTGCACACAGCACAGGCAGCTTCACGCCTCCCGGTCCCTGCCTGTTTGGTCACCTCTACCTGGAATGCCCTTGTTCATTCTGGCCACCCCTGCCCATGCTTCCTCAGGAGGCATCTCCCAAGTCCCTGGCCAGATCAAATGCTCCCCTGTGCCAAGTGTTTCCTCTGTCTTGTGTACCTCCTCTTTGCCCACTGCACACAGCGTGGTGTCTGGTACACGGTGGATGCCCAGCCTATGATGGATGGATGAGTGGATGGAGGGAAGAAAGAAGGGGGTCGGAAAGGAAGGATGGGGGACGGATGGTTGGAAAAGGGAAGGAAGGAAGAGGTATGATGAATAGGGTTCCCTCCCAAGGGTGGAGCCTGACCTCAGGGTGTGACCTCAGGGGCAAAGGACAGGAGTCACCAGGTGTCTCAGAAAACTCGTAGGCTTTGAATCCAAGACCCCAAAACGCAAGAGACCCACTTGTAGCAGGTCCCAGCAGGAGGGTGCAGCCAAGGGCCATTGTCACCATCAGAGCCACAGCAGCCTGTAGACAGCAAGGGGTTACAAGGGTGAGGCTGGTAGGGGAGTTCCAAGGAGCAGTGCTGGACAGACTACCTCTGCCCCCAGGCCGATCTCCCTCAGGGCCACCAGGAGGCCTCACCATCACTGTCCACCCGAAGGAAATCCGGACGTTCTTCGTTTACTTCCGACAGCAGTGAGCCCTCGGCAGGTGCCACTGGCCCCACAGCTGCCCCAGCGACTCTGTGGAATGAAACAGACCTGGACATGGAAAACCAATGTGGAGCAACTCTGGGTGGGAATAAACTGCTAATCCAGCAGGCTAATGGCAGGAAATGCCTGTATTTGGGTTTTCTCTCTTATTTTTTAAATGTAACATACACTTTAAGATCTGGGTTCTTCCCTTCCTGAATTCGAGCCAGCTCTTTCTGGTTTTTCTCACATAAATGACACTTTTCCACACTCCTGCTTATTCATTCATCTACAAAATTCAAACCTGGGTTCTAAAGGCGGAGCAAAAGCCCCCATGGTGGTGCTGAAATGTGCCTGCCATCCACTGGTAGCTGTGGGCCTACTGTGTGTCCAGCGCTTTCACAGGCTCATGACTACAAGAGGGCTTGGCTGTGCCCACTGAGCAGATGAGGATACTGTAGCACCAAGCTGAGGTTCCAGCCCCAGGGTGCCACCTGCCAAGCATGGAGGGCAATCTGGATCCATAAAGAGATGAGACCACACAGCAGGGGAGACAGAGCATTCAATATAAGAATTATTGGCCAGGTGCAGTGGCTCCCAGTGCTTTGGTAGCTTAAGGCAGGAGGATCACTTAAGCCCAGGAGACCAGCCTGGGCAACATACTGAGAAGCTGTTTCTACAAAAAAAATTAAAATTAGTCAGGTGTGGCTAATTAGTGGCACATGTCTATAGTCCTGGCTACTCAGGAGGATCACTTGAGTCCAAGTTTTTGAGGTTACCATAAGCTATGATCACACCACTACAGTCTAGCCTGGAAGAAAAGAATTAAAACTGATAAAAGTGTAACTTCTACGCCTAAGAGAACTGAAAAAATTCATCCACACACAACCTACATTCCCGAGATCATAGCAGTGTTACAACAGACAAAAGGTGGAACCAGTGTAAGTGTCTATCCACAGGTAAATGGATAAACAAAATATTACTCGGCTATAAAAAGGAACGAAGCAGCATGCTACACCATGAATGAACCTTGAAAACATTCTACTAAGTGAAGGAAGCCAGCCACACAAGGTCACACTGTGTGATTGCATTTATAGAAAGTGTCCAGAATACGCGAATCCATGGAGCTAGAAAGCAGATTGGAGGTTGGCAGGGCCTGGAGGAGGAAAGAATGAACACGACAGCTAACGGGTTTCTTTAGGGATGATGAGATTGTGGAATTAGTGGTGAAGTTACACAATTTTGTCAGTATACTAAAAACCACTGAATTGTGTACTTTGAAAGATGAATTTTATGGTCAGGGAATTATACCTCAATTGTAAACAGTTTTAAAAAGTATATTATGAGACACAAGGAAATTATATGGTTCTCAGGTTTGAAGGAAAGTACAGAGGAAAGGACTAATTTGGGAGGATTCAGACCTTGGAGATGGTGGGGTTTGGCCACTGGACAGCAGAGATATTTTTTGATTTGGCCAGTTGGGAGCTGGGCTGGAGTTTCTGGGCAAGCAGTACAGGACTCCTATGGCCTGTAGTTTGGGGGTGGTGCCCAGGGAGTGGGGCAGGAGCCCTTTAGAGCAGGTGGGCTACATGAGGGCTTGTTTTCTGTGTCAAGACTACAGAAAGGTTATTCCCAAGCTGGGGCCATGTCTGATGGATGTGGAAGAATCACATCCCTCAGACATGCTGTCGCCCACACCATCCTTCCCAGGGCAGGTCAGAGGTGGCAGGAGAGCCACTTCCTGCTGCAGTGTCCCTCCAGCACCCTTGGCTAAAAGAATGAGAAGAATATAGATTGAAGAGAAATCCAATCCCTAAAAGAGCAAGGCGTAAAATCCAGCATCCACTCTTTAAAAATCAATAAAACTGGTAATGCTTGGTGGCTCACACCGGTAGTCCTAATGCTTTGGAAGCCTGAGGCAGGTGGTTGCTTGAGCTCAGAAGTTTCAGACCAGCCTGAGCAAGAGTGAGAACCCCATCTCTACTAAAAATAATAAAATCAGCCAGGCATTGTGGTGGGTGCAGGTAGTACCAGCTACTTGGGAAGCTGGGACAAGAGTATCACTTGAGCCCGAGTTTGAGGTTGCCGTGAGCTATGATGCCACAGTTTCTCTACCCAGGGTGACAGAGTGAGACTCTGTCTCAAAAAATAAAAAAGATCAGTGAAACTCCCAATAAACTATGTTGCTCACTAATAATCATAAATTTTGGTAAAAATCCCAACAGTATTATTGTGGAACTTGACAAGATGATTCTAAAATTTATTAGAAAATACATGTATTTGTCTGTTCAGGCTGCTGTAGCAGAACATGACAGACCAGGTACCTTATAAACAACAGATGTTTATTCTCCCCCCCCGCCCATCCTGGAGACTGGGAAATCCAAGATCAAGGTGCTGGCAGATTCAAGGACCTGTCTTGTGATCCATAGATAGCATCTTCTTACTGTGTCCACACACAGTAGAAGGAGAGAGGCAACACTCTGGTTTTGTTTTTACACCTGTTTAAAGATGCTAATCCCTAATCACCTCCCAATGGCCGCACCTTCTATTACCATTACCTTGGTGTTAGGATTCTACCTACAAATTTGTGGAGGACACAAACCTTCAGACCATCGCAAATGAAGAGCCCAGCTCTAGATGGTACATATGTGGAAGCTGATTTAAGAGAGGTAGAGGAGCAGCACCCGTGGCTCAAAGGAGTAGGATGCGGCTCCATATGCCAGAGGTGGCGGGTTCTAACCCAGGCCTGGCCAAAAACTGCAAAAAAATAAAATAAAAAAGAGAGGTAGAGTGTCCCACGGTGGGGAGGAATGACACTTCCACTACAAGAGTAAACTGAAAGAACTCAGAAAAATAGTTTAGCATTACTTCTAAAGTTAAAGGTATGTATGCTTTATACCCAGAAATTCAGTGCTAGGGATGTGACCTAGACAAAAATGTCATGTACATGTGTACAAGAATATGTAAGATTGCTCATATGGCATTGCTCATGATAGCTGTAAATTGGAACCCACCAAAAGGACCACCAACAGTGCATGAACTTGTAGGGTGGTGCATTCAGGGTGGCACCTGTGGCTCAAGGGGTAGGGCACTGGCCCCAAATACCAGAGGTGGCGGGTGTAAACCTGTCCCTAGCCAAAAACTGAAAAAAAAAAAAAAAAAGTGGTGTATTCATACAGGAGATAACAAAGAGCAGCGGGTCTCCAAGTGTGGCCCCCCAGGGCTGGGCACAGTGGCTCATGCCTGTATTCCTAGCACTTTGGGAGGCCAAGGCGGGTGGATTGCTTGAGTTCGCGGTTCGAGACCAGCCTGAGGAAGAACAAGATTCCCATCTCCTAAAAATACAAGAAACTGAGGCAAGAGGATCACTTGAGCTGTGAGCTATGATGTCGCCATGGCACTCTACTCAGGGTGACAGCTTGAGACTCTGTCTCAAAAAAAAACAAACAAAAACATCAAGTGTGGTCCTCAGACCAGCAGTGCTAGCAGCATGGGAAGTTGTTGGAAATAACAAACCTTGGTCCCTTTCTTAGGCCAAACAAATCAGAAAGTCTAGGGATATGCCCAGCAACATGTGTTTACCAAGCTCTCCAGGTTTTTTGGATGCATGCTCAAACTGGAGAGGCACTGCCATAGCACAATCACCATGAGTGAGCCATTCCTATCTGCACAATGCAGGTGGTTCTTAGATAGATAGGTATAGATAATAGATAGATAGGTATAACTAGTAGATCATATTGAACAAAAGCAGCAAGATACAAATGAAAAATCATGGTTCCATTTACCTAAGTTCATAATGGGAAAAATGATATCATGTTCTCTATGCCTGCATTCATAGCTGATAAATCAATAAAGCAAGCAAAGAAATGGCTAACCAACCGTCAAAGGAGGTGTTACCTCCAGCAGGGAGAGGGAGGGCTGGATTAAACAGCAGCACACCTGGATTTCCAGGGATGTTGACATGGTTTTGTAGCCAGACCAAGAAGTCCATTTGCCTGTCAGTCAAGCCATCAGTGGAGAAGCTAATGAGAGATCAATAGTTTCACTTTTATTTACAGAAAAGCCAACAATTCCAGAGAACAGTGAGGAAATCTCCTCAAAGAGCTGTTTTGCCCTCTTGTTTCTTTTTGATGTTTTTATGCCTTCCGAGCAAAGGCATACATCAGCAGCGTTATGAATCAGTATAGTATACATTAAACCAATCCCTCCACTCTCTTCATAGATTACAAAGTCAAAATATCTCCTGCTTTCAAAGTGGTTATATTTCTTTTTTTTTATTAGATCATAGCTGTGTACATTAATGCAATCATAGAGTACAATGTGGTGTTTTCATATACAGTTTGAAATATTTTCATCAAACTGATTAACATAACCTTCATGTCATTTTCTTAGTTATTGTGTTACGATGTTTATATTCTACTTTTAGAAAGAATCACTTGTACCCTTGTAAGATAAACCATAGAGGTGATCCCACCAATCACCCTCCCTTCATCCACCCCCCCTTCTCTCCCCTCCCCATATTCTTAGGCTATAATTGGGTTATAGCTTTCATATGAAAGCTATAAATTAGTTCCATAAGAGGGCTGAGTACATTGGATACTTTTTCTTCCATTCTTGAGATACTTTGCTAAGAAGAACATTTTCCAGCTCCATCCATGTAAACATGAAAGAGTTAAAGTCTCCATCTTTCTTTAGGGCTGCATAATATTCCATGGTGTACATATACCACAATTTATTGATCCATTCATGGATTGATGGGCACTTGGAAAGTGGTTATATTTCAAAGCATTTCTACTTAGACTGAATTACAGCTAGTTAACGCTTCCCTGAGTGCACAGAGTGCCTTGGGTCCTTCACCAGTACTGTGGAGTCCAGTTTCCCAATTTACCCATGATAATAGCTGTGGAAGTGAATAAACAATCTCTAGATGTCAGCACATAGACTCATGTGCCTTGTTAGGGACTGACCACAGTGCCCTGCGTGAAATAGCCATTCAAGTTAATAGTGACTGCTAATAGTTTTATTCACTGACTAAGGTGTTGGTTACATGTAAGTTCCCTTTAAAATTACTCAGAGTGAAACTATATGATATAAATATTTATTCGTATTCTTAGATATACGAGATAAATGGTGAATTGTAAATTCTCACACTGTAACTGCTACAGCATGAGTGAACCTTGAAAACATCATACTAAAGTGAAGGATGCCAAAAGGTCATATCAATAATGCCATGTCATAGAAAATATAAAAAATAGTAAACAGAAAAAATA